AACAGAGAGCGCCTTCTATCATCCTCTATCTTATGGGCAGCCTTTGGTATGTATTGACAGCCACATAGAAACTCTCCCATCCTACAAATATGATTCCTTCTCCAAGCAGAACTCTGGGCAAGAAAATAATCTTCATCTCTTTGCATAAAGGCTAAGGTTTTGGTGTTTAAGTGAGCAAATTCATATCTAGTGACAGTTTCTCTGATCTCACTGAATTCTTGCAGAAGTTCAATGGACTAGAATTAGGTAAGAGGAAGCAAGATTGTGGCAAGGGTTTAGATCTGCTGAAGCCTTTTTAATTCACCTTTTACCTAAAATCGTGTCTTGCTTTGAGATAAAAGATGAGGCTAGGATTATTAAAGAATATTAGACTGTTATAAAGAACCACTTAAATAAGCAGGATTGCCAAGTGACCCCCTTCTGGGTTGACTATAAGTGGATAGGTTTAGGAAATGATGTCAGAGAACTCCTACTTGGTCTCTGTAAGTGTAGGAAGATGAAGACAAAGACAGGAAGCTCTGTGGCTGAAGGGTACCAGGCAAGGTCTGGTTCTCTGGGGATGTGGAGAAGATTCTTTGTCAAAGTATAGAGTTCTACTGTTTCTGCCTGTAGAAAGCTTTCTCACTGGACTATCTTTGGATTTCCAGCCCCCAGATAATGACACAGAGACTTACTATTAATTATGAAAGCTTGGCCTTTGCTTAGGCCTTTACCCAACTAGCTCTTATAACTCAAATTAACCTGCTTATATTACTCTACCTTCTATTACATGTATGTCTGACTTGTTTCATGTCTTCTAGGCATCTCCAACTTTCTTCTTTCCTCTCTCCCTGGAAACTCTGCCTATTCTCTCCTGCCTAGCTATTGGCTATTCAGTTCTTTATTAAACCAATCACAGTTACACATCTTCACACAGTGTACACAAATATTCCACAACATCTACCTTTCTCCTTGTTGATATGTTTGTATTAACATGAACACCTTCTTACTCATTTCCTAGATGACAGCTTGCCTCTAGAGGCAGAAATATTTATCACAAACATTTTGTGTAAGTTGTTTTTGTTTCCTTAGGGCAGTGGTTCTCAACCTGTGGTTTACAACCCCTTTGTGGTTAAACAACTCTTTGACAGGGGTTTCCTAAGACCAGGATAAAACATAGATATTTACATTATAATTTGTAACAGTAGCAAAGTAGCAATGAAAATAATTTTGTGGTTGCGGGTCACCATATCATGAGGAATTGTATGCAGCATTAGAAAAGTTGAGAACCACTGCCTTACGGTATTACATTTCTTGGCCCAATTTCTATGACATTTTACAGTAAGCATCTAGCAGTTAAGAGTCGTGTGATTGAAGTGTATGATTTAAAGATAATTTCTTTGCATTTTAAAAATTCTGGGCTTGATTACTTAGTACCAACTGGGTAATAATTGCTTAGTTCTCTGGATGGAGAAAAGGATATTATTTGGAAATGCTTGATCTTGCAAGAAAAAAAATAGATTCCAGAAATTATTAGAATTTTTATCTTGTCTTATGCAATACACATTTTCAGGTTAAAATATTATAAATTTAACATAACTAATATGTGTGATTGTATAATTTACATTCTAACTTGACTAGTTTTTTTGCATACATAGTATTTTTGTAGTGAAAAAATGTAGGTACTAAAAGAAAAGGCTTCAGTAGAGTGTTAGGATGTGGGCATTTATAATCACAAACACACACACACACACACACACACACACACACACACACAAGAAACCTACCACATGAATATTCTGTTTTACAGTATTCACTGAGTTAGCCTCTCAAGAAAACTAGCTCAGTCCAATTACTTCCTAGTCTACTGTGATTATGATGTTTGTAGTTTTTAGTTTTTAGTGGATGCCAGTCTTTCAGTGAATGATAATGATAACTAAAATCAGTACCAAAAACTGTGAGTAAAGTTGATACTTTCTGTAAAGTTGCGCTTCCCTTGGGCTAATTAAAAACTAAGGCATATGAGTCTTTAGGTCTATTAAATATATAAATTTTTCAGTTGACTCAGAATTTAAGGAGAAAAACTTAATTTTCATGTATCATTTTAATTAATTTAGTGTGTTTGTGTATATTCACATGCATGCTGTAATGTGTACATGTAGGTCAGAGGACAACTTGGACAAAGTTGGTTCTTTCCTTCAGCTATGTGGGTCCAAGGAATCAAACTCAGGTTGTCAGGCTTGGGGGTATGAATCCTTACCTACTGAGAAATCTCACTCCCTTCTTCTGTGTTCATTTAGATAGAGATATTTTTAGTGCATTGTAGAAATAAATGATGTTCATTTTAAAAGGCAGGTATGGATAAAGCTATTGTACTTAAGGTGGTATAGTACTGGCAAAAGAGTAGAATAACAAATCATTTGAACAGAATATATTATCCATAAATAAATTGCCTTAGAGTCTACATTATCTGTTCTTCAACAAAAGAGCAAAGGCTATAAATAGGAAAATAATATTTTCAACAATTGGTCCTAGAATAACTGCATATCCCCCATAGAATAACTGCAAAGTGTGACTAAACACAGAGCTTTCAGCCTTTATAAAGATAACAAACGTAAATGTAAAGTACAAAATCGTATAAATGCTAGAAGATAGTATGGGAGATTCTCAGGGGTCTGGGGTTTGATGATGGTCTTGTATGTGTATTATCAGCTTTTTCTATTAAAATTTTATGTTCCAGGACACTATATGGTACACTTTAAGTAAACTAGCTAAAACCCAGAACATTGACAACCCCAAATGCTGGTGGAGATGCAGAGAAGTGGATGCATCCTCATTCATTGTTGGTGGAAATGCAAAATGAGATCACCCCTGGGGAAGATAGTTCTGTGGTCTCATTTTACCATGTGACCCAGCAATCACTACATTTGTATTTCTTCCAGAGTAGCTAAAAAGTAATGTCCACACAGAAACCTGCATGTAGGTGTTTGTAGCAGCATCATTCATAATTGTCATGACTTAGAAACAACTAAAATATGCTTCAGTTGATAAGTGAATAAACAAGCATACCAGACAATGGAATATTATTCTTCACTAAATATTAGTGAGCTGTCAAGCTCACTTGATATCTATATAGTGTAGAAAACATAACTATAGAATTTAGTGAAAGAAACCAATCTGAAAAGCCCATGTAATATGTGATTCTAATCATATAACTTTGTGGAAAAACATGAAAACTATGAAGGCAGTAAAAAGATCAGTTCAGATGATAGAAGGATGATTGTACAGAGAACCGGTGAGTTTTAGAGCAGTGAGACTACTCTGTGAAACTATTCTACAATGTCTGACACATGCATTATATGTTTACCCTAATCTATAGGATGTACAAGAGTAAAGCCTAATGTAAACTTCACTTTCAGTGATAATGATGTGTCTATAGCTTGATCAATTGTGGTGTATACACTACTCTGCTGGATGATAAAGATAACAATTAAGAGGCTGGGGATGTGTGTGGGTTGAAGGTATACGGAAACTCTTGGTTCCTTCTGTTAAATTTCGCTATGACCCTAAAGCTGCTTTAAAATAAATAAAAATATGTTGAGACAGTTTTTAAAAAGAAGAATCAACTAGAAGGTATCATCATTCCCATTTTATGGGTGAGAAAATAGAAGATGGGGAGGTTGCCATTTTCCTAGTGTAGAGTGATGTGGCTAAAGTCAAACCAAGAGCCAGAGTCAGAGTTCCTAATTTATAGCCTTGCTCCCATGCCTCTTCATGCTAATGGGTGCAGATAGTAGCATCCTGCAATAAGTGATTGCATTTCTGTACCCATGACTCTAAGTGGTTATATATTTATTAGATAATAGAACTCAAGGCTGACTGTATAGTAATCTTGGACATTATACAGTGTTCCATTTAATGGGCCACATCCTGTATGGGCCACTGTTTATAAGTACTGGATCAACTCATTTGCCATAAGCCATTTTAAGAAATAAACACCTAGAGTTGAGACATCTCTAAATGTTAAAACCTTTCAGTTCAAGGCAGGTTGACTCTTACTAAGAAACAAGATTTGTTCCCTGTTCAGAATGAAACCATCTGAAGCACCATAGTCAGCATCTAAAACAGTCTATGGTAGAGCAAAACATCCTGAGTAATCGATTATTGAGTGCCTTCTGTTTATGTGCCTACTACTGGAATGTACTGAGTGATGTCAACAAAATATACCAGGGGCTGGAGGTAGGGCTTAGCAGTTGAAAACACTTACTGCTGTATTAGAGTATCACAGTTCAGATCCCATCACCCACATTGTGTAACTCCAGCTCCAAAGGATCTGATGCTTTCTTTTGGCCTCTGTTGGAGCCACTGAACAGGTATACATATAAATAAAATAAAATAAGTATTTTTCAAATAGGAAGAAGAAATGCTAGACATAGTCTTAACTCTGCAGGAACTGATAGACCAACTGACAAAACAAAGCACAATCTGTAAATGACTTTTCATATTCTCATTGACCAAGATTAGCATCAGGAATGAGTTTCAGTCTGAGTTGCCTCTGAAGTAAACCCTGAGGAGTTGAGGCATGCATATGAAGGGAATGTAGAACAGGCATGAGAGAAAACTGAGGGGTGGAAAGGGATGAGACAGAAATCACAAGTAAGTGACTAGAAATTAAAGCCTATGAGTAAACACTGAGAAACAGCATAGAACACATTCTTCACACTTATTCTACATAACAGGTGAGGAAACTGGCTCTTACTCAGGCTAGACCTGAGTTATTGAGGGGTTCACCCATGGATCTTAATTCCCTGGTGCTTCAGCCTAACAGGAATGAGTGTATAACATCCTTCTGTTATTCTGGAAAAAGTCCTCAGGCAGTCTCAGAAATCAACAGATGGAAGTTAGCCTACATATGCAGTACAGAGAAATTCAAGGCCTGTGGGTGGGAGATGGCAGAACATTGGCCATAGGATTCCTGGTAGGGGTGAAATTTGACAGTGCTCTTTCTCTTCTCTCTTCAGGTGTCATCATGACCTTGTGTCTGTTGTCCATTGTATATGGAGCCTTACGTTGCAACATCTTAGCTATCAAAATCAAGTATGATGAGTACGAGGTCAAAGTCAAACCCCTGGCCTATGTCTGTATCTTCCTATGGAGAAGCTTTGAGATTGCCACTCGAGTCATCGTCCTGGTCCTCTTTACCTCTGTCCTGAAGATCTGGGTGTTGGCAGTTGTACTTGTCAACTTTTTCACCTTCTTCTTATACCCCTGGATCCTTTTCTGGTGCAGTGGCTCCCCATTCCCCGAGAACATTGAGAAGGCCCTAAGTAGGGTAGGTACCACCATCGTACTGTGTTTCTTCACTTTACTCTATGCTGGTATCAACATGTTCTGCTGGTCAGCTGTACAGCTCAAAATCGACAATCCTGACCTCATCAGCAAATCCCAGAATTGGTACCGGCTGCTGATTTACTACATGATGAGATTCATTGAGAACTCTGTCCTCCTGCTCCTATGGTATTTTTTCAAAACTGACATATACATGTATGTGTGTGCCCCTCTGTTGATTCTGCAGCTGCTCATTGCATACTGCACGGGTATTCTTTTCATGCTTGTGTTCTATCAGTTTTTCCACCCGTGCAAGAAGCTCTTCTCTTCCAGTGTTTCTGAAAGCTTTAGGTCATGTATCAGGTGTGTCTGCCTGTCCTGTGTGAGGAGAAATTCCTCTGAGCCAGTAGTAAAGGTAGACATGGACTTAAAGTCATGCACAGATCAAGATCAAGATCCAGATACAGAACAAGATCAAGGTCAAGATGAAGATCAAGATGTTAGACCTTCTACCAGTATGATAAGTCAACATTCTACCAGTATAATAAGTCCTGAAGTCTCTGAGATGTGGAGTGCTATTGATCTGTAATCTGCTTAATGGAACCTGAGGCTTCTCATAAGAAGGGGATATTGCATTCTTGGTTAATAACTTCTTCATGCAAGGAATGAGTCCTACACAGGAAATAAAGGCAGGGAACTAGCTGTCAGTTCCTTGTGAGCTGCCTTTTATAGAGCTCTTTGATTTGAGGTAGCTATGGGGAGCACTATGGAAGCCTACTATCCCACAGTTTGTTTCACAGTTGACTCTGTTGCATTTTTGCAGGACTTACTGGCCATTTCATTGACACAGTATCCCCGAAGTTTCAATTGAGCTGGTCATACTCATCAGATATAATAAAGAAAAACGCTGTTTTCTACACTGTTGTCCCAGTAGCCTGATGCTTTACTACTAAATAGAGCTTTATACAGAAGTCACCATGGTGGTCGGAATAGGTTACTAGGGATTTCACAACCTCATTCCTATCATAGCTTACAGGGAGAGCTGTTTAAGTTTGTTTTATCAGTATGTTCCATTTTCACCTCATTAAGACTTTTTGTACATAACCAACTATAGCCATGCTGGAATGCAATCTGTATTGGTTTCAAGGGCCTAGATTTGGGAACTTTATTCCCTAGGATCCATTGGTACAGTTATTTAGGAAAGCTGAGTTTCCAGGACAATTGTTAGAATATCAAAATGATGGAAGTTTATACAGATAGAAAGGTTAACTTCTCCAAATGTCTGAAGATATGAATTAGTTAGAAGGTAGGCTCAATTCTTCTTGTAACTCAGTCTTGTCTTATAATTCTGGGAAATTTCTAATATAATTTGCTAAGATTAATATTTTAAGAAAAAGGAAAATAAAAGTTTTCATTCCTATCACCCCCTTCCTCATCTGCCAGGAAATTTTTTAACAAGACTTACTTCAGTTCATTTTCTGTTGTTTCTAGAAAGCCCTGTAGAAATATCTTCCCCAATTCAAGTATATAGGATATTTTAGTTTTATGATTTGAAGAAAAAGAAGTGTTTTTCTTACTGCCACCCTAACTAGAAATATTTTAAGTTATAGAAAGTAGTGAGATGAGCAGATGATGTTCTTTATAAAATGTGTTTTGACTTGACATTATTATGAGTTAACTTTAATAAGATCTTCATTTTATCTTCTTGTACTTTTTCTTCAACTATTTATTATTGTTTAAAAGGGCTGGGTAGAATATTATCAGTAGTCTGAAGAAAATGCCCATAACAGTGCTATTATTTCTACCACTAAAATTTGGATAATAAAATGTCTAGAAACAGGTGACCATAAAGTTTACACCACTTTAAAATGAGAGTTGTAGCAAAATTTAAGGAATTTTCAAAGGTACCTCTGTTTATGGATTCTGTGAGCTAGAGCAGACATTTACTTTTCTGACCACATAAATTCATAAAACACATTTACCTGGCTATCCTACTGGTAATAATTGGCTTTTTAGCTCTTTTGGTATCAAATTAATGAGTAATTTCATAAACATGGAAATTAATTTGGTAAATAAGGTATACTAGAGGATTCATAAAATAGTAAATATTCTTTGACATGTCATTCACACTATTAATATTTATACCATTTTATATGCATACACATCAGTAAGGTCCAAAACTGTAGAATGTCCATTTTACTTTCATGAGGTATTTTTCCTCACTTGTAATTCTCTTGGTTTATCAGTATTTCTAGTTTAATTTTATGAGAATCCACAGGCAGTACATCCATTTTGATTACTTTTAACATATAAAAATGAAACTTAAGGTTGTCTGTTCTCTGGTAATCCATGTACCACTTTTCCTGTTTTTAATAGATAAACTAGATAAAGTTAGCATACATCATCAAAATATTTATACAGAAGATATTTCTCTGTACTTTGTACTTTTTGTATTTAGAGGTACAAAACTGTAATATGGGGAAAACATCTTTGAAAATATATAACAATTACAGGTAAACCAAAGCTAAGATGTTAAAGCACTCTTGGTTATTTCATAATTTAAAGTGTTCAAAATGAGAGTTGGAAGACTGTTCTTAAGTCATTCCAAAATGCTTTCCTCTGTCAAATGACTTCATTATGTTTACAGACACCATTATTCATTGTGTTTTTACTCTTTAATGTGAAAGACCACCTTTCTCTGAAGATTCACAGTGACTGGGGGTAGAGGTGGTGATACCCTTTTCCAGTTTCAGGGTATGCCTTGGCACTGAGACTGGAGTCAGCTACCAGCTTGTCACTTATAAGGCAGGTTCAGAATTAGACAAAGGCAAGGACACTTGTGCTTTTCCAGCCTGGTTTAGAAACATGACTCAAAATATTTTTAAACTCTTAATTTTCAAGTAAGCTAAAGTAAGCTTCTTTACTTTAGACAGTTGGTAAGCATCTTGAATGACCTCAAACAAAACTAACAGTGATAAACTATCAGACACTGAAGGACAGTTCAAGCTTTATAACAACTGCTTTTTCTTTTTTAGCAAACCAGATATTATTTGAGTCTCTTGGTAAATGGGCATTTTCCCAGTGCAGTCTCACAAGCTCACCTAATTACTCTATGCCTCAGTCTCCTCACTTACCAAATTAAGATGATATACTTGTCCAACGTACTTCAGAAATCTGTTGGAAAGACTTCATTAAGTAATAGATACAAAACTATTTTTAAAACATTTTGAAAAGATTTTCAAAATACCTTAAAGAGTTATTCTATTATTCAAGTCCATAAACAGGTTATTGTTTGTGTTTGTTTTGTTATTTACTGTCTGAAATGAGATAAGTAGTTTCATCCACATCAGTGTCTTGAGTGAACATATGGGTCTTTGATCGTCTCTGCAATTGCCCTCTGTTACCATCGGTTGATTACAAAACTTAGTGCTCAGGGCATGTGAGATGGCTCAGCAGGGAAAGGTGCTTGCCACCAAACCCAACACTTAGAGTCCCATCCTTGGGACCTACAAGGTAGAAGGAGAGAAACAGTTTCCACAAGTTGTTGTCTGTTATTCTGATTTCCACAAGCGTACCATCCATGGCTTACACAAGTGTCTCTCTCTCTCTCTCTCTCTCTCTCTCTCTCTCTCTCTCTC